CCTTCCTTCCTTCCTTCCTTCCTTCCTTCCTTCCTTCCTTCCTTCCTCCCTCCCTCCCTCCCTCCCTGAGCTGGCTGGAGAATTCTGGGAGTTGAAGTCCACACATTGTCAAGCTGCCACAGTTGAGAAACATTGTTCTGAAGCAAGACCACACATTCTAACCATTATAGCTAGTCCTTGACTTACAACTGTTCATTTAGGGACCCTTCGAACTTACAACCAGCGCTGACAAAAGTGACTCAAAACCCATCCACACCCTTAGCAGCCACCACAGCATCCTTGTGGCCACGTTGTGGCCAACATTCAGCTGCTTGGCAATTGGCGTACATCGTCGAAGATTTGCAGAGTCCGTTTTTCAACCTTCAACAAGCACTATCAATAGGAGAAGCCAGTTTGGTTCATGACTGCACAACTTGAATTTGAAGGTCTCTACTGTATCTTACAATACTAGTATTCTAAGAGGTGGTAGTATGGGAGGGTTTCTTCTAAAGTCTACCGCCATTTCTACGGTTTTGAGTGTGTTCAGTTCCAGATTGTTCTGGTTACACCACGAGGCAAGTTGTATAACCTCCTGTCTGTATGCGGATTCATCGTTGTCCCGAATGAGACCCATCACTGTTGTGCCCTCTGCAAACTTCAGTATTTTAACAGATGGATCATTTGAGATGCAGTCATTGGTATATAGGGAGAAGTGGAGAAAGCACACAGCCTTGGGGAGGTGGGGGGGCTGTGCTAATTGTACAGGTATCAGGTGTGATTCTGCCTAGCTTCACCTGCTGCTTCCTGTCTGTTAGGAAGGATGTAAACTCAGTGAGAAATGTATACTAATATTATTATGTGCACAGGATAGATGTACCAGACGACACACTGTATAACTGAAAGATGGTTTTTATTTGTTGTTTTTGCTTTAAAAATAAAAATAAAATTCAAAAAAACCAAATAAACCCAAAACAACGGCTTCGCTCAACAATGTGATCGTTGACTGAGGACTAACCTATCTGCAAAATGACACACCACTTTCTACAAAATGCACATTTATCAAATGAATGATCCATTGGACTGTCGGATAACTGATACCTCCCCCTGCCCCGCCCTTCCCTCCCACCCCTCATTTGCCTAAATTATGCAGCAGTATTTTATTATTCCGTGCCTGCTGGGACATTTTTTCTTCTCGGGCCATTTTCAGGAACTCTCGGAGAAGGTGGAAAGTTAAGTCTAAGGAATTAGGGCGGCTGTCTCGTCTCTGGTTGGAGAAGGCTGATCTTGCAGCTCTCGGTGGCTGGGATCGGCCTCCTGTGCCTGGGCAGGATCTGGGAGAGCTTGATGCCGGGAAGACCCCCGCTCCGGAGCTGGGCAGAGGTCCCAAAGATGGATCTCTCCAGGTCGAGGGGTTCAGCCACGCTGGCTCCCAAACCACATCATTGACTGGCAGCAACTGGGCCAGTGGGAGGCAGGATGTCCATGGGAGGAACAGCAGAAGGACGAGAAGCCCAGCAGAAATCTTGAAGGCCATGGCCAAACCCTAGGACAGAATCCAGAAATTACTCTGAGAAATGCCTCGGTTTCCAAAGGCTTCTGTTTGGGTCCAGAGGCTTCAAAGCATCTAACAGCAGGAACAGCATTTAAGGGGGATTTAACATCAAGCTAATAATTCAGGTAAGAACGTTGCTCATTACAGGTCTCAAAATACAAGGGGTAAACTCCATATATGGTTATTTAAATGCTCCTTTAACTTTTGAATATGGTAAAAACTCTTATCTTTTGAGAGCTGATTAAACAGGTTGACTCCACAAGGAT